TATCGAAAGAAAGTAAGTACATAGAAATTCAAAAGAGTAATTATGTGTGGTAGTCGAGACGTTGGCGACAGAAGTACCCAGCTCCGCAATTAGAAAACCGACAACAAAATAGAGTAGAAGAAAATCCGGTTCAAGTTTATTGAATTACAACACTTTTTCATACTGAACTATTTCACACAACACCACAACTTTCTCTCTCTCTTGGTTTTCCAAAAAATCAAACACCAGGGAAAACTGAATGATGCCTTGATGGATCGACAGTTGAAGAAGCTTGAAAAAGCCAATGAATTAAAGTTGATTCCCGCTTTATATCTGTGCATAATATCCTGTGATCGAGAATGTTACCACAATGATCGGTCGTGGTCGAACAGAATGCGGAATTTTGAATCCATGAGTGGAACTGGAAGACAGCATACGCACCAGAAGCAGATGCCTCAGCAAATAGGTGAAAAAAATAAGCGACCTTGAAAAATTACGGATGGCAACGTATTTCCGAGATTAAAAAACGAATAGTGGTTTCGCCTTCATATCCTCATTACCATCTTCGCACAGTGAAATACAGCGAACAAACTTCGGTGGTCACGGAGCCACCAGCAGTAAAAACTAAATGCAAACGTTTAAGGTGGATGAGGAATTACATGCCGGATTAACAGGGAAACAATCAGTCAAAAGGGATAAAATACAAATAACCTGATAGCTGTAAACATACACCACATCTGACCTGATAAACAAATGACAGTGCTAAACTTGCTTTATGGGTTCGTTGCGGCATCCTTTAACGCAGTTAGAGATTGGTTACAAAAACAATTGAAGCTCCGTCTAGCTTAATCAATCCATGTCGCAGCAACGTCTTTCTCCAGCCCTGAAGTGGTAGCTGCAACCGGGTCGCGGTGCAACAGACGATATAACTACGAGTCTCGGCATCAAGGTTGCAAACACACGAACTGTTTCGGTGCAAATAAACGGTATACTTGCGCCGAAGGACGCAAAAGAGGAAAATGAAAAATTAGCTTTGATACATCAACACAAGTTCTTGTAACTATAGAGTTGCACTGTCCAAATCAAGGTATAAAATCTGGCCTTATATATTCTCTTAAATGGCGAGAACACACTAGAGTTATTTCGGATCAATTTACTCCCCATTCCCCATCACTTCTTGATTATGTATAGAGGCACCCCTTCCGATCTGCTACTGTAATTCATCACGCAACTATCCAGACAAGAGAGACAATTGATTAATCAATTTCCAATCCCTGATTTTCGCTGCAGGGGAGGGGGTAACACCCCACAAACCCCGAGACTGCACTTTGAAGATGCCAAAAGCATAACAAAAACAGGTAGTATTTTTCAAGAGTGTATTATGCATGAACCATTTTTGTATAAGGATTCATTTCAGCTACTCTTCAGTGTACGTAGAAGAAAATAAACGCTAAAGTGCTCTCTTCGTAACGTGAATTTCCTTCCCTTATTATTCCTATTACCCACACTTGTATGATGAGGAGTAGACAGGATAAACTCTATAGTCATGAGAGCCAACCGATCTCTCATTCACGAAACTCGACAAAATTATCCCAGGAAGCAGAGTCGCGAATTAGATAACGATCCGTTAGTCTGGTATGGTTCCGGACTAAAGCGAAACTATTTACCACCAAATTAGAATGTCCCGTCATTCTGAGTTAATGGGCATTTGCATTGAGCGCCTTCAGAGGGATTTTACATTGTGGACAGCATTTCACGCCTTCCGTGTACTGGCACATATGCAACCATCGATCAAAATTATCTAACGTGACTATCACCCTCGAGATCGATGAAAAGTTCACCAGGTTTGAGTGTTATAATAACCCATCGTGGTTCATCCATACCGCTCCTTACACCAGAGTTTGCCCATGGCTGCATGAAACTGAGGAGATTGAGCAGCGAGGCAAATCTGCACACATAGACAATGCATTACCAAACGTGGAACAGAAAAGGGCACTCACTTGGCATTGGATTGGACGAACCGCTTCCGGAAGGAACGATCAATCGGACATAATCGGCCGGGAACCAACCGAATTGTCGCACGCGACCACGTTGCTGCATAGATGCATGTGCACAGACGCAAATTGAGAAACACGACGGATTATGACAAGCACCGTTGCGAAAAAAATAGGCAAGATAGATGTAACGAGGGACAGTAATACGATTAGTAAGCATAATGAGGGATGAATGATACATGTACAGCAACAAAGCAGAAACAGTGATGTAAATTGAAAACGAGAGAAGACGCAAGTCCCTACTCTAGGTGACAGTAATGAAGGGCGAGTCTACTTCTGTGCACATCAAGTGATCACAAACTCGCTGGTTAGATAGTTAGTTATGGGTTCACATCAGCCCTCATGTGGTATATTGAATTGAGATAGATTAATGATGATGGTTTCAACACAACCCAATATTATGAAGGCACAGATCTACGATGTACGGATGACACTGACCGAATCAACTAGGAGTCCACTTTGCAGTGTGAAGTTGGGATTAAAGAATGGGGTACCACATCATGGAAGCCGATTCAGAAATATAGAATCACTGCGCAAGAAAAAGGTCTATTATTTGTGTATCATCAGAATTAGCCCGGCCCTCAACTGGTAGAGAGCGAGTTAACAATAAGGACTGCTAAATTTTATTTTTGCTCGATTCAAGATTCTCAGTATTGCAAACAGATGTTCCAGCTGAGCGGAGAATAAACTATTCCACCAGTGGATACTCAGTATTATGAAATAACATTGCATTAATTTGAGATTCTATGATCAATGATCTTGATTCATTCATGAAAGTGAGGTCAACGACAAGAATATAAGCAGACCGGGAACACAACACGTTGGCCTAATGATTCCTCTCGACTGGTTGTCAGTGTTGATCATCAACTCAATGAATTCCATTAGTTCTGTGAGGGTCAAACCATTGGTTTCATTCTTCCATCGTCCACAGGACCTTCTATAACAAGGAACAAGAACCGGAATGCACTGAACACCAGAAGGAAAAACTTATGAACTCCGCGTCCCACATGACAAAGTACTTGTGCAGTAGAACACATGTATTCATGGTGAGTAAGATGAGTTCAGCTTGTACAACCATTAACCAAGTCTTTTCGTGCGCCGGTTTTGGCTGCTCATTTGGATGGACAGTAGGAAAAAAAACCGGGAAAATTGAACAAATAAAACTGAAAAGAAAACGGAGAATTTCAGTGGACTAAGTTTGCAAAGATTTCGAGGAGATGCAAGAATGTAACTAGTTTTGTTGTGCATTTCACGACACTACCTGCTTCTTGAGCCCCACATTTGAACAATACCGTTTCTAACACTTTCTACATGAAGTTAGCGCGGTACATTGCTGTGGAGTGTTTTAAACTGTTTCTTTATAAGTTCAGACTTATCCGGACGAGATATCACCGGGACAAACAGGGGAGATCTAATTGGGTCACTCGAGTCTGACTAGGGTGCCAATGCACTCAACACAAAATGAAATATCATAGAAACACCCTATATCTGTATTTTTACCAGGCGGCCATTCTATGGGGGCAACCCCCTTCCTGAAAGTTGACTGTACATTTGTATATTCAATAAATAGAAAAAGGAAGCAAAAAGACATCTACGTATTTTTATATTTTTTACAATGCCAATGAGTTGTATATCGATTCCGGTAGTATATCAAAAGCACCAGCACCCTCCACACACAGCAAACATTTCGCCACGAAGGTAGAAGAAGGGCAAATTGGTGACCGGATTTTTCCGTTTGTCCACAACGTGAACGTAAGCAGTCATCATTGGTGATCTCGCAAAAAATCATCCAATCGGAATCACTCGGTGGGACATCAAGACTAATTTACGAGTTAAATTGGTCTTTTTCCTACCCTAAAAATAGGCGTAACTGGAAATGGAAATATTTTGGGGTAAAGAACGAACTGAGTTGTTCGGAACAGATTCAGTAGAAAAGTGCCAAATTTGGATAGAAATCGATTAGTTCTGTAATAAAATAGTTGGAATTTAACCTTGATATTAAGTGAATTCTTTCTCATACACGCACATACAAGATTTTGACGTACATCAAGTTAGCGGCCTAGTGAAACAGATAATTATAATTTGATTCAATTACTTTATGAAGGAGGGATCACGGTTCCCTGAGATGAGTAAATTGAAGAAAACTCGCAGTAGNCTATTTATCTTATCTACAAACCACATAAATGGAAAGAAACGTGAACATCTAAACCTCTCAAACACTTATCTTGCACACCCGAGAGAACGGTTCACTTAGCATCCAACCTGATGGCAGTTTGTTGCGATGCTGTTATGAACTAGATTTCATGCATAGTACACAAGATCAAGAAACTAATGAAATACGTCACAGTTCACTTATTAAGCAGTTTTCTTCTTTTCAGAGCACATCACTTTTTCTGTGGAGAACTGTAAAGCTATCCATTACCAGATGTTCATAATCCTGCTTAGTTCGCTCTCTCTTCGTGACCGCATACGCAACTGGTTGAGACAACTGAACGGATGGTTTAATGGTGATATTACTCAGTTTTTACAAAACTGCGTACGTTTTGCTGACAGTTTCACATTTGCAATCGGCATCGTGGTGTTATTCAATTGTAACTGCGGGTCGATTACCTCCAAATACTTTTGACATTCACTGATTATCGATTCGTGGCGGGGCCTTCAAATTTGGCCGCGCTGTTATTTTCCGTTCGATCATTGTTTTTGTACATCAAATCGCTTTCTGGGTTGTTTCCATAGGTGCATTGTGCAATTACGATGACGCCAGTCGCGAAATTTCATAACGCCTTCATGCTAAACATCAAGAACTCTAATTTGCCTCCTGAAGTACTTGAATTTGGAAAATCAGTGAGAAATAAATACAAAAGGATTCGCAGAAAATCTCGCGGACATTGGAGGAAGCATCGAGGTAGTTGAAGAGTAGCACTGCGTCAAAGAGCTTTGTCACAACTATGCATATTTATCTTTATCAGCAACAACGTCCATTCGTTGCCTGGAAAATTACCAGATATATCTGAACTTGTGTGCCGTATAGAATATTCTAACTTGGGCGCAATTCTTTTACAAGAGACTTGGTTACATAGTGAAATTGATGAACGGATTACTAAAATCGATGGCTTCACTGGATACCGTGTCAACCGTTCGGCAACACATCAGCAGCGTGGAGGCCTAGTGACTTATATCAATAACAATTGGTGCAAGAACCTAAAGCAAATATTTGCTCATTCCACTTGTCACATACGTGCTTCTGTACATGAATGCAAGCCAAAGCACCTCAGTAACTATCGGTCGATTGCCTTGGCTACCATTTATATTTATTCTGCTTGTCCCTAGGAGGAACTTATTCATTTTTCAGGTACAGTTTCCGTAGCTTTAATGAGTTATCTTGATTTCTCGCTACATATCGTCTGTGGTGATTTCAATCGCGTTGATATCTCATTCTTTTCTGTTCTGGGTTTCACATACATAGTGAGTTCCCCAACAAGACTAAATGCTCATTTAGACAAGTGTTTTTTAAATAATACTAGCACTTTTTTCGCATCTTCCCGCTCCCCTCTTGGGTCTTCAGATCATGCCCTTAATAAAAAATTCCTCAAAAGTGTACAGCAAGGTCATATCGTTCACAAAAAGCCGTAACATAAAAAGAAGAAAACGTCAATGTAACCAAGAGAACCTAGAAAAGCTCAATGTGATGGTCTCTCAGACGGACTTCGGTGTGTTCGACAACCCCAATCCTTCCATCTACTGTGATCACCTTACACATTACCTAAACTTCTGCTACG